GAACGGGAGATTCGCATCATGGATGTGCAGCTGACAAATCGGCGGCAACTGTGTGATGCCATCATGTCAATATGGACCAAAKTCTCTGAGGAATGCTTCCAGCACCTTGTTGAATCTATGCCACAAAGAATTGAGGCAGTTCTGACGGCAAAAGGGGGTCCAACCCGTTACTGGCGTGGTGTACCTAATAAAGTGGCCGGTGAGTGTATATCCTTATATTTATTAATATAGCTGCAATTTTGACTTTATTCCGACAAATTATCCAGCCTAAAAGTGTCTTATTTTGAAAATACAGATGTTGTGCTCGTTTCTTTTCCTGTTGGTGTGACGTAATCTTTAAAAATTGACTCCGGCACTGCTCCGTTGTCCGGCAAAAATAGGATCTGTTCAAATTTTGACGGATCGCCGTCTGCTCACCGCCGCTCACCGCTGCCATGCGCAGCCAGTGTAAACACTCTCGTTGATTATAATGGGTGCGTATTTGCTGCGGAGGTCGGACCGGAGCGGAGCGGAGATGGAACACATGTATTGTAAATTGGGAGGTAATAGCACAAGGAGGACAGATTCACCAGAGTCTAGAGCTAAAAAGATGTCATTCAACACCTTCAACAGAGCAGACTCAGTGCTGTATAAAATATACAACAGTTCATAAAAAGTTGATGTAAAGAAACCTTAAACATATTGAATTAAAAGTTACACTCATGGCATTTTTGTAAATTTCAACAAATTTTAGTCTCTATCAAAACATGAATTAAGGAATATGTTTTATAGAAAATACTAACAATTCAAAATTTGATTATTGGTTGACTGCCCTTTTGTTAGATCTGATATCTGTCATGACATTGTATTTCTATTTTTAAATAGAGGTGCACCAATAAATCAGTGCATATTTACTTAATTTTGGGAGATGGGCGATCAACTGATACATGAGAACTGATCTTATACAGTATACCTTTACAAAGGTCTGAAAATCAGCCACTGTCCCCATTTGTTCTGCTGTGAACACTACCTCATGTTCAGTTAAAGCAAGTTTGTATTGTTTCAAGGGTATTTTTCAATGTTTCTCAATAAAACAGATTGGAACATAGAAGGCCTATTGTGAGCTTAGAATACCTGACAGTGTCGGGTATTAAAAAAATCAGAATCGGCAGGTCAGGCTATGCAAAGATCACTGATCAGTCAGAAAACTGCAATCTTTGTACCCCTTTTTTTTATCTGTTTTACTGACTTCGCAGGCAGGGGTCGAAAGTAGCTCCCACCACCACTGACCAAATGCATGAGGCTTATGTTTTACTCAGTAAATACCTCCAGCCTTTTTAAATTTCTAAACAAAAATCCAAATAGCCCCAAATAAGTTTTAAACTTTGTTGTTTTCAGTTAAAGCATTTTAACACTGTTGGTCCTCTGGCAACAACATTAAATTAAAACACACAATTTACACAGCAGATTAAAGATATTAGCCAAAAAGACACACTTTGATGCTTATAATATCTATTTTTAGAAGATAGAAATTAGAAAACTAATCAGAATCCCCCAGTGTGTAATATCAAAGATTCTTCTCAGTTTTTCCACATCACATCACTCGGTTAAATTCATTTTTATGCCTTGTAGCTTCATTTTATTGAACCCTGGTTAAGCTGCCGTTACTCTTTTTGCTTCTCATTTAGGACAAAAGTGGGATAATACATAAATGATGCAATTTAACTTAGCAGGAAGCCTTAGAATTAAACTTTTTATAGAAACAAAATGTAGCTCAGAATGACTACACAAAAAAAACTGTAAAATGAGCAAATGTTGCTGCTTTTATCTAGCTATTTTACTAGTTTTAGCTTGTGCTTGGTTAAATTTAGCTAGCGTTATGCGACTTCTAGCATTTTAGGATTTTTTTACATCTGTCTTTTCTTTAATATTTTGTTTATTTTAGGTTTAAGTTGGTGGTATGCTTCTAACTTTAACAACTTAGATTCAGCTTCAAATTTCAACAAAGTAATTCAGCACTCAGCATTCACAAAACATTTTTGTTTAATGTTTAAAGAAGCTGCAAAAGGAGGTATAATTATACTACACATCTACCCTCTATTCTGTGCTGAAATTATGTTCAAGCAGTGGGGTGCCGTCAGGTCCAGCAAAGCTCCTCTGCTGGCCTAAAAACAATCAGAATCACTAGTTTATATTTTAGAATATTTTATATTATTTATTATAATTATTGATATTGTTATTAGAATATTATTATTTTTGAAACATCTGTTCTCTTCGTTTCATAGTTTTTCTCTTGGCTGTGCAGCTTCCAGCAGCTTGTATTATTTTACAGCTTTTATCCAATCATACTTCGATCATCATCTGTTGCTAGGGTCCACAAATCTGCCTCAGGCCTTCAGAACGAGCAGTGAAGTCACCTGGAGGGCGAAACACACGGCAGCGATGCTGTTGCTTTGACCAATCAGGTGCTGAGGTGAAGACACCAGAGCCTGCGAGCTGGCTTTCAGACAGCATCAGCATTTTCTCATCGTTTGATTGGCTGATCGGAGAGCAGGAGTCCGAACCGGGAAACTAGATTTCTGTAGCGTCTTACAAGCTAAATGCTGAGTGGACATTCTCAGAAGTACAGGAAATTAAAACTTAGAACAAAAATACAGAACAGACTGGACTTTCAGTGTTAGCTTCATGGTGGTGATAGGAAAGGACTTATTGCTGAAACGAAACACCATGAGGACCTGTATGACAGAGGAGCCGGATTTTTCTTGAGGAAAAAACGGAGGATGGAGTTTTTAAACAGATAATAAAAAGTTTCAGTGAGTAAAATATATTTTATTTAAATGTTTTATTTAGTTATCAGCTTATTATATAACCYTAGTGATGCTGTTGTTAATGTATGGCACAGCTGTGGCTGCAGTTGAGAAAACTTGTTAAGTGTGTCGCTTCAGTGATGACTTTCATTCTGACTTCATGAGGCACCTGTCTGTAGTGCAGAGACACCTGCCTGTAGCGCAGAGACACCTGCCTGTAGCGCAGAGACACCTGCATGTAGCGCAGAGACACCTGCATGTAGCGCAGAGACACCTGCATGTAGCGCAGAGACACCTGCATGTAGCGCAGAGACACCTGCATGTAG